GGGGGCTCTCTTTTTCTTACTCAGTCTTAAATTTCAAAGGACAACTTTAATAACAAATCCTGGAGCTAATTCTTTGCCTATTACCTGTTGCACAAAAGCCGTTTTGTGAATAGATTGAGGTGGTGTTTGGCTTTCATCGTCACTGTCTGGCGGCTCCTCTTTCACCTTTACAGATCGGAGGTGGTCTATTCTGATGTCAGTACTGCTGTGACTTCTTATAGCAGCTGAGGAGGACATCTTCCCTTCTTGCATCAGATAATCACTATGTTGTTCTTCTTCAGATTCCTCTAGATGGCTTCCAGGCTGGCGGAGTTGCTCAATTGATTTTGAAAGCATCTTTAAGAGATAAAAACGTAATAAATGATTATGATGAATACAAACAGGAGGTCAAAAACAAAGGTGCAGCTGTCCAGAGAGTAATGAAAGAAGGGGTACAATTTTACACTGGAAACAGAAAAGGATATTTAAAACTCCAAAGACATGCTGGTAGATTAATTGGCTCCTGTCTAAATTGTCCCTATTATGTGTATGTATGAATGTGAGTTAGGGACCTTAGATTGTACACCCCTTGTGGGTTAGGGACTGATGTGAATGTACAATATATATATGTAAAGCGTCTGCGTAAATTGACAGTGCTATATAAGTACCTGATATAAATAAATAAATAAATAAATAAAGCTAAACTTCTTACATATATGGGAGCTATATTTACTGCTGAATGTCCATCTAGTCCTGAGATTTATAAAGCTCTGGCACACAACAAACCCAGGTACATGATACCATTTACAGTTAAAGTGGTTGTAAACCCTTACATATACCCAATGAAGTGATTAGTCTCTGGTGATCTCCCTGAGATGCAACAAATCCTCCTACATAAGTTGTATCTGTTTATCTGCACTCTCCTCTTCTCTACATCCATTCAAATTGTACAGTTTACACTGTAAACAGAGGCAGGAGGCAGGGATTTGATGTCACACACTGCACAGCTCAGAACAGAGAGCTGAGTGTAATCTGAGACCTGGGTGGTGTCATGGACCTAGGGAAATATGCACAGCTGAGGCTGTTAATCACAGACTGTGTGCTGAGCCCTCCCTCCCCTATCACCCCTGACTGCTTGATGTCAGCCTGTCAGAAGTGACTCATGCAGATAACAGAGAAAGGAGATACCAGACTGAAATCACACTTGGAGTTTTGGATATAGGCAAATACACACTATACAAGGTTATGATTTGTTCACTTTTCATTTCAGAGGTTTACAAGCTCAAGTTAAACAACCTCTCTCCAACCCCTGACTGCTGATTGGACCGATTGACAAGGTTATCTTTCTGCTCAATCTACTCTCTCCTCCTATCAGCAAGCTCTTTGTCAGCACCTTTCTATGCCACACACTTAGTTGATTCCTTCCTCTGCCAGCATACAGTGCTGCTGTATAGGGAATTGCAGAACCTCATGAATATCATGTCACTGATTGCATTTAAAAAAATAAATAAATGTAACAATGCATTATTAAATACAGAGCTGTATTAATCTGTATCTTTTATATCTGCCTGGAGTGCAGCTGCAAAAATGCCTTTGAGGCCTTTAACCAATTTACGTGAATTTGCACTTCCTGGTTTAGGGGGCGTGTGCAAGTTCCCGGCGCACCGCTTCTACTGTGATTAGTCACAGCAGAAGCCAATGATGTCCACTGGCACATGCTATTCGGTTAGGAGACAGACAGCACACAGCTGTACCTATGTAAACAAGGCAGAGCTGTGTCCTGTCAGACACAATGTGGTGGATTTTGTTTCCCTGCTAAGCAGGGAATAAAATCCAGCACATTCTCCAGGAATAACACCTCACAGAACATACACCAAGCACTGTTAGGTACACATTGAACCCTATGATTGCCCTAGATGTTTAACCCCTTCCCAGCCAGTGTCATTAATACAGTGACAGTGTATATTTTTAGCATCATTAGTGTCACTGGTTTCCACAAAGTGTCAGTTAGTGTCAGATTGTCCACCGCAATATTGTAGTCCCACTATGAGCCGCTGATCACCGCCATTACTAGTGTAAAAAAATAAATAAATCCAAATTCCAGGGTATTGCAGATGCTAGAACATTGAGTAAACCAAGCAATATACAGTTGTGGCCAAAATTATTCAACCCCCAATGCTGTAAAGGGGTTTAGGGACTATAGTGTACATTTGGAATTGTATTCAGAATCAAATCCTACAAGGACGTTGTAACTACCCAAATGCAACTAAAATGACATCAATTGTTTATGTAATACAGTAGTAAATGGTTCTTATGTGGTTTCTTCATTGCCACAATTATTCAACCCCTTAAAGACTACCACTCTGAAGAACAGAGGTTCATACAGGTGCTTTCCATCAGGTATTGAAAACACCTGTGGATGTCACCGAGCAGCAATCAAGCATAATAAGCACCAATTAGGCAGCTTTAAAATGACTGTGATACTCAGCTCCTTCTAGACATTTACTGGTGTGGTTACAAACATGGTGAAGGCAAGAGAATGGTCCAGGAAGACAAGAGAAGAGGTGATTTCTCTTCACAGGAAGGGCAATGGCTATAAGAAGATTGCAAAGATGTTAAACATACCAAGAGACACCCTTAGGAAGCATCATTCGCAAATTCAAGGCAAAGGGCACTGTTGAAACGCTACCTGGTCGTGGCAGAAAGAAGATGCTGACTTCGACTGCTGTGCGCTACCTGAAGCGTAGAGTGGAGAGAAGTCCCCGTGTGACTGCTGAGGAACTGAGAAAAGATTTGTCAGATGTGGGTACAGAAGTTTCAGCCCAGACAATAAGACGCACACTGCGTAATGAAGGCCTCCGTGCCAGAACTCCCCAGGCGTACCCCCTTGCTGTCTCCAAAGAATAAGAAGAGTCGACTGCAGTATGCCAAAAGCCATGTGGACAAACCACAAAAGTTGTGGATAGTGTTCTGTGGACTGATGAAACAAAATTAGAACTGTTTGGGCCCATGGATCAACGCTATGTTTGGAGGAGGAAGAACAAGGCCTATGATGAAAAGAACACCTTGCCTACTGTGAAGCATGGTGGAGGTCAATCATGCTTTGGGGCTGTTTTGCTTCTGCAGGTACAGGGAAGCTTCAGCGTGTGCAAGGTACCATGAATTCTCTTCAGTACCAGGAGATATTGGATGGAAACGTGATGCAGTCCGTCACACACCTGAGGCTTGGGAGACGTTGGACCTTTCAACAGGACAATGATCCCAAGCATACCTCCAAGTCCACTAGAGCATGGTTGCAGAGGAAAGGCTGGAACATTTTGGAGTGGCCATCGCAGTCACCAGACTTAAATCCGATTGAGAACCTCTGGTGGGACTTAAAGAAAGCAGTTGCAGTGCGCAAGCCTAAGAATGTGACTGAACTGGAGGCCTTTGCCCATGAAGAATGGGCGAAGATACCCGTAGATCGCTGCAAGACACTTGTGTCAAGCTATGCTTCACGTTTAAAAGCTGTTATAACTGTAAAAGGATGCTGTACTAAGTACTAAGATTGAATGTCACTTGGGGGTTGAATAAAACTGATAATGCTGTGAGCACAGAAAAGACATTTGTGGTTATTTCATTATAACTGTTATGTTATATTTTGTCTGACCTACAAGTGCCTCTTTAATGTAAATGTAAGCAAGATGACTGAATGATCAAAAGCAATGTCAAACTGGCCAAAACACTCAATTTCAGTGGGGGGTTGAATAATTTTGGCCACAACTGTATGCTTATTTGGCTTTTTTGTTTACCACAAATATGTAGCAAACTATATATTGACTTAAATATATGAAGAAAATTAGAATTTAAATTTGTCTATTGGATATGATTTATAGTAGAAAGTAAAAAATATTGTTGTGTTTTTTTTTTTTTTTCAAAATTGTCGGTCTTTTTTCATTTATAGTGCACAAATGGAAAAACTTAGTGGTGATCAAATAACACCAAAAGAAAGCTCTATTTGTGGGGGGGGGGGAATGACATAAATCTCATTTATGTAGAGTTGTATAACTGCGCAATTGTCAGTTAAAATAACACAGTGCAGTATAGCAAATAATGGCCTGGGCATGGGGGGGGGGGGGTTAAATCTTCTAGCAATTCCTCTGTACTGTAGGTTACAGAAATGGAAAATTAAGTATATTTAAGGCTTACCACAGTTGGATTGTTTAACTTGTAGCTGTCGGGTGACTGCCTCAGTGGCTTGCCCCACTGGTCCCCTTTTCAGTAAGCTGATATCTCCAATTTATAAAATCAGAAAATGTATGCACTAACTTAGCACTTTAACCACTTGCCTACCAGGCACTTATACCCCCTTATTTAACAGGCCAATTTTCAGCTTTCAGCGCTGCCGCACTTTGATTGACAATTGCGCGGTCATGCAACATTGTACCCATATGAAATTTTGATCATTTTTTTCTCACAAATAGAGCTTTCTTTTGGTGGTATTTAATCGCCACTGGGCGCTTTACTTTTTGCGCTGTAAATACAAAAATTGCAAAAAATTTGAAAAAAAAAAACAAAAAAAAGTTTCTTTCTTTCTATTATAAAATTTTTCAAACAGGTAATTTTTCTCCTTCACTGATGTGCGTTGATGAGGCAGCACTGATGGACACTGATAGGCGGCACTGATGGGCACTGATAGGCAGCACTAAAGGGCACTGATTCAGCACTAATGAGGTGTCACGGATAGGCGGCACTAATATGCAGCTGATCGGCACTGATAGGTGACACTGATACTGATGTGCGGCACTGAGGCAGCACTGCATGGACACTGATAGGCGGCACTGATGGGCACTGATAGGCAGCACTAAAGGGCACTGATAGACAGCACTAATGAGGTGTCACGGATAGGCGGCACTAATATGCAGCACTGATAGGCGGCACTGATAGGTGACACTGATGATGGGTACTGATAGACGGCACTGACTGGCATCACTGCTGGGCACTGACTGGCGGCACTGTCTGGCACAACCCCTGGGCACTGACTGGTGGCACTGACTGGCAGCACTGCTGGGCTGCACTGGTGGGTGGCACTGGTGGGCAGCACTGGTGGGTGGGCACAGGTGGGTGGCACTGGTGGGCACAGGTGGGTGGGCACAGGTGGGTGGGCACAGGTGGGCACAGGTAGGTGGCACTTCTGGGCACAGGTAGGTGGCACTGCAGAGTGGCACAGGTGGGTGCACTGCTGGGCACAGGTGGGTGCACTGCTGGGCACAGGTGGGTGATCTGCTGGGCACAGGTGGGCGGAGCTAGTGGGCGCACTGCTGGGCACAGGTGGGCGGAGCTTGCGGGTGGCACTGCTGGGCGCTCTGACAACTGCCGGTTCTCGGCAGTACTTTCCTCACGATCTGACAGCGTGAGGAAAGTGCAGCCGAGAACCGGCACTTGCATTTCCCTCTGATCAGCGTGTCATTGGACACCGCTGATCACGTGGTAAAAGGCCGCTGTGATTGGCCTTTTACCACATCACGTGATCAGCTGTGTCCGTAGGACACAGCGATCACGGAGATCGCCGGGTGCGCACCCCCTGGGGCGCGCAGGAGAGCGCGTTCTGGGAGGACGTCATATGACGTCCACCCAGAACTGGCCGGCCGCAGTGCAGCCGTCATTCGGCTATCTGCGGTCGGCAAGTAGTTAAGGATCTAACCTAGAAATTTTACAGAAATAACACTCTGGTACAATTATTAAAAAAATTTTGGATATTTATTAAAAATAGAGATATGGAAGTCACTAAACAAAAACAACTAACTTACCGAATTTACTTGAAATAATAGATAATTTATAATCCACAATCTGACAGTCTATGCAACCCCACTATGTCATGTTGACTGGCATCTCAAATCTGCTAGTTGGTCAGCTAAGCACAGTTACAAATTAAACATCTTCCACAGAAGCAACTCTTTATCGCTAAAGGCTAAGGATGAGGCAAATTGAGAATCTTCATTCCTACCAAAATTAAAGCAATAACTGAGCAACTTCTGCAAATTTCACTATTTTCATAAAATGCATTGAGGTCAATGGAGAAGGCAGAATTACACCGCGTTCCAAATTATTATGCAAATTCTATATTAAGTGTCACAAAAATATTAAATATTTTGTTTTTCAGTTTAACTCATGGATGACATTGTGTGTCAGGGCTCTTTTGATAACTGAAAACAATCTCGGACACCTGTGATAATTAGATTGGCCGGTGAGCCCAATTTAAGGAAAAACTACTAAAGGAGGGTGTTCCACATTATTAAGCAGAGCACCATTTTCAAGCAATATGGGGAAGAAAAAGGATCTCTCTGCTGCCGAAAAGAGTGAAATAGTTCAATGCCTTGGATGAGGTATGAAAACGTAAGCGTGATCATCGCACTATTAAGAGATTTGTGGCTGATTCAGAGCACAGACGGGTTCGTGCAGATAAAGGCACATTGAGGAAGATTTCTGCCAGATCCATGCATCGGATCAAGAGAGCAGCTGCTAAAATACCATTACATAGCAGCAAACAGATATTTGAAGCTGCTCGTGCCTCTGGAGTCCCATGTACATCAAGGTGTAGAGTCCTCCAGAGTCTTGCAACTGTGCATAAACCTTCTATTCGACCACCAATAACCAATGCTCACAAGCAGAAACGGCTGCATTGGGCAGAAAAATACATGAAGACTAATTTTCAAACAGTCCTGTTCACTGATGAGTGCCGTGCAACCCTGGATGGTCCAGATGGATGGAGTAGTGGATGGTTGGTGGACGGCCACCCTGTTCCAACAAGGCTGCGACATCAGCAAGGCCGTGGTGGATTCATGTTTTGGGCCGGGATCATGGGAACAGAGCTGGTCGGCCCCTTTAGGGTCCCTGAAGGTGTAAATATGACCTCTGCAAAGTATGTGGAGTTTATGACTGACCACTTTCTTCCCTGGTACAGAAGGAAGCACTATGCTTTCCGTAATAAAATCATCTTCATGCATGACAATGCACCATCTCATGCTGCAAAGAATACCTCTGCATCAATGGCTGCTATGGGGATAAAAGGAGAGAAAGTCATGGTGTGACCTCCATCCTCCCCTGACCTCAATCCTCCTTGAGAACCTTTGGAGCATCCTCAAACAAAAGATCTATGAGGGTGGGAGGCAGTTTACATCCAAACAGCAGCTCTGGGAGGCTATTCTGACATCTTGCAAACAAATTCAAGCAGAAACTGTCCAAAAACTCACAAGTTCAATGGATGCAAGACTTGTGAAGCTGCTATCAAATAAGGGGTCCTATGTTACAATGTAACGTGACCTGTTAAAATGTTTAAAAAGTTAAAATGTTGTTAAAAGTTTGATTGAAATAGCTTTTGATTTCAGTAAATATGCTGCAAACACAACAAATGACAATTTTCAGTTCTTTACAACCTATAAAGTGTTTTGAAACGTACTGTGCGTAATAATTTGGAACAGTACATTGTAAGTTTTTTATGTTTAACAAAAATACTGTTATCATTAGGAGGTTTGTTCAATAAAATTTGAATTGTACTCTTAATAGTTGATAACATGAGAATTATACTGACTGTTATTTACATCAATTATTTAGGTAAATGAGAAAAATATAATTTGCATAATTTGGAACAGGGTGGATGTTTTTGGTGGCTTTTGGTTACCCATAATAACTTTATAAAAAATAACGTTCTTCAGCAAGTAACATACATTCCACATTAATAATTATGATACCAAAATGAAGCTGTTCACAGTGATGTTTTACAGCAAGTCGAACCCAGGGATGGCTCCAATTGTACACAAATTCTCGAACAACAAAGAGTTTTTTTTTGTTTGACGTAGAAATGTTGTAGCGTAGATTATTGTTGTTTATTGTTTCTGTTTGTGCTCAGTCTTTCGTATCAGATTTTTCTCATACAAAAACAGTACACATTAAACAAAAATCATTAGTTCTGTTCACGTATGAGAAAAATTTTGGAGTTTGTCCCTTCGGAAATGTTAATTTGGAAAGTCTGAATGAGATGCCATAATTTGTGTATACACTATATGAAAATCGAACAATTGGTCCTCGTATGGAACTTTTATTCCTATTTTCTCATAGTGTGTACCCCACTATAGTGTGTGCTGTAAATTGCCTCCAGCTCCAGCATTGCTTCTGTTTATTCTTGCTGGAGGCTGTCATTTGCTGATGCCCAGAGCCCCTGAGCAGCAGTAAGTCTTTAGGCTGTCAGCAGGTTGGCCTCTAGTGCCTTGGATTTTTGGCACAGTGCCAAGAAATAAAGAGCAACTGAGCATGTGCAGAGCAGAGTGAGACAGTGTATTACTGGATTTTTAACAGTATAGGCACTTATTTATAATGTTTTACATAGCGATACCTGCAAAGGGGCCAGCAAAAAGTGATCTAACAGGACTTAATTTTCTGACTAATGTTCCACTTTAGGGGTGCTATAGGATTTATATGGTTTTTGAGGTTTACAGAAGCTTCATTGAACTACCCTGATCTGATCTATACCAGCAGTAGAATTTAAAAAAATTGATACACAAATAATAATTACACACACACACACACACACACAAATGCAAATACCATTAAACAAAATAAGTTACTCTTATTACCCCTGCCCCCCCCCCCCAGGAAAAAAGCACACTCCCAAAAATAAAGTATCATTTTCCAAGCTAATTTGCCTAAGCAGCTCAATGAGTGAGACTAAGAGTTTCTGTTCCAGCAAGGATTTGCTGGGATCACTTTGCTTATTCCTGACCAGGCCATTTTTTTGTGTTACGGCGCTGCGTTACTTTAACTGACAATTGAACGGTAATGCAACGCTGCACCAAAATGAAATATATGTCTTTTTTTCCTACAAATCTAGCTTTCTTTTGGTGGTATTTGATCGCCTGTACGTTTTTTAATTTTTTGCACTATAAGCAAAAGAAGACTGACAATTTTGAGAAAAAAACAATATTTTGGACTTTTGCTATTAAACATGTCCAGTAAAAAAATTTTAAAAATCAAATTTCATCATAAATTTAGGCCAAAATGTATTCTGCTACATGTCTTTGCTAAATAAAATCCCAATACGTGTAAATTAATTGGTTTACGTGAAAGTTATAGCATTTACAAATGGCGGTATAGATACTGGGATTTTTTTTCTACTAGTAATGGCGGCAATCAGCGACTTTTAGCTGGACTGCGGTGGACATTCTGACACTGGGGGGGGAACTTACCTGGTGTAACTGATATCCCCAGTGACACCAATACAGTGATCAGTGCTAAAAAAAAACACTGACACTGTACTAATGGCACTGGGCAGGAAGGGGTTAATGTGAGGGGCAATAAAAAGGGTTAACTATGTGCTGGGAGTGTTTTTTACTAGGGGGTGGGAGGTGTGTGCTTCACTGTAAGCACTCTGATTGGGACGGCTGTGCTGTGCACAGACATCCCGAGCAGTGTACTCAAGCTGACAGAGAGGAACACTGTTTGTAAACAAAACAGTCTTCCTCCCCATGGGTGATTGTTAGTAATCACTGGGTGCCGGCGGGTAATTACCGGCTGTGACCTGGTGATTGACATCCACGACCACGAATGGCGGCGCGGGTAGGGTGTGCACGTGGCTCGCACATGCCCCCTACCTGGAAATGCAAAATCACGTAGCAGTATATCTGCTATAGGACGGTCCTTAAGCAGTTAATAAGTAAGGTGAAGGTATGTTTATTTCAATCATTTGATAATGAGAAAAAACAATTATAATAAAATGACTAGATGACTAAACAGGATTTACTCAATATTCAACTTATTCACTAAGCTAAGCAGACATTTACTTTGCAAATTGAAAATGATCTACAGCTTTAATAAACCCACTTCATTGGGTCTCAGTGTGTGAGAAGGAACAGTAGTGCGCAAACACTAACAAGCATAGTACTGTAAAGCAGGTAGAAGATCCTGCATTTATTATAAGCTGATATCGCTGCCCCAATCTACATATCAATACAAACTAAAATCGAAAATCACTTTCTAAGACATTAACAAACAGTGATATGTACACCCAGTTGATTTCCTTTACATATACATCTAAAAAAAAATTGACAATCCTATTACACATTTCTCTTAAGCAAAATAATCTAAATTATCAGAAGGCATTAAATCAATTTCTTTTTTGTTTAAATCCCAACTCTGAGCACCAGAAAAAAAAATACATTTCTGTGGGACCTCCTTGCACTGCAAGGTTTTAAAACGCTCACTAGGTCTGGAGGTATTGAAATAAGCTGGAACTTATTTAATTCCCTACTTCAGCAGCCTTCTTCCACATCGTGTTTACCCCTTTTGTACAACAAATATTTGGGAAGTACCTCCCTTTGTATGCTTTTTTATGTATAGTACTTCCCTCTAAAGGTGCATTTATTGCCTTTTAAATGTATGCTTTATGGGTATGAGCAATAAATGTACATTCTTCCCTTATGCCTTAAAGATGACCAACTATCACATACCCCGCTCATT